TTTTTTTAATTTTAAGTTTTTAGACTGTAAGTAACTCTACAAATATACGTGTAGCTTTTATTTAGTGTTCACTATAAAGCAGGCACAGAGCAAAGCACTTTCTTCACATTGACTATCTCCTCTAAGTTTGTAATAACTTTTTTTGAAAAGTGGAAACAGAAGTAAAGAGGCTAGTCATTTGTCCAAGATTATACAGCTAATAGCTGGCAGATCTGAGTTTTGTCTACCTTATTCAAAATCCTTTCCTTTTAAACATCTCTCTACAATAATAGCAAAATCATATATATGTGAAAATATAATTTATAAGGGTTCTTGTGTTTACCAACACACACACACGCACACACACACACATACATACACCATGTTTTAAATAAAGTTAGCACATGCAGGGACTACCTATTTTTATAGTTTATTAGAGAATTACAGATATTTCTATAAGAAGGTGAAATATTGTTCCTGTTCCTGGACTGAAAGAAATTTTGATAATAACATTAAGTTTGGGGGGAGGGGATAGCTCAAGTACTACAGCGCATGCTTAACATGCATGCGGTCCCGGGATCAATCCCCAGTGCCTCCTCTAAAAATAAATAAACCTTATTACCTTCCCCCCCACCAAAAGAAAATAATCAAATAATACAATAATAAATAAAACATACAGCTCTAAAAAATAAAATTATTTAAAAAAATTAAGTTTGGAGAATAAATACTTACTATTAATAAGAGCAGATAAAATTCTATTTTAAAATCTAAGATTTGCAAATGTTAGCCACTATGTATAAAACTAAATTTAAAAAATGAGTTTCTTCTGTATAGCACAGGGAACTATATTGTATGTCTTGTAATAACCTTTAATGAAAAAGAGTATGAAAACAAATATATGTATGTATATACATGACTGGAACATTGTGCTGTACACCAGAAATTGATGCATTGCAACTGACTGTACTTCAATAAAATAAACAAATAAATAAATAAAACCTCAAAAAGAATAAATAAAATCTATTAACAATGTAAAATGCTTTTTATTCCTTTTATTTATTCCACCTAAGCTCCCTGGACGCACAGTCGAATCATTTGTAGTTATCCCAAAGTACCATAAAAAGAGGCATAAAAAAGATTTTTGCTGTTTTGTGTCTGCGGTTATTCAGCTTTTCCCCTGTTATTAGGTGTAAGAGACAGTGCCCAACCTTTGGGCATAGTTCTCTTAAAGAAAGTATGCAAGCATTCCAGAGATTTGCCCCAAGGTGAATTTTAATAAGTTCTGCCTACTTCTTTCCTTGCTTGAGAAAAATATAGCTAGGGCTGTTACCGCTTGGAAATGAGCTCTGCATTTATGCTAATTAGATCAGGCCCCTGCAGAGGAGCCAGCTGTTGATTGTTATAGGAAATAAAATGATAAGTCACCAAAATAAGTCATTCCAAGTCTGACTTCTAAAGACCTTTTCTAGCAGGGCGTAGGAAAAACAAGCACTGTGGTAGAGGAAGTGCAATCAAGACCTCCGGGTAAGACGAGAAAGAGGGAAAGTGACCAGGTGAGCAGGGTTTCCCCAGAATTTATTACAAACATAAGTGTTGCTCCCCAGACCTTGGGTAGTGTCTCTATATTAATTTTTATTATAAATGCATGATTTACTTGCTATTTAATAAAATAATAATAATAATAATAATAATAATAATAATAATAATAATAATAATAATAATAATAATAATAATAAAGTTTGGTCTTCCTTGGCTTCCAGGGAATTTCTCTCTTCTCTTCCAGTCTTTCCAGGACTTGCTTTTTTCCTCTTCACCCTTCACTACCACCCAGAAGTGATTAGATATTTTCCATATTTGGCTTTGACCCAGTTCTCTTCTTTGAAATTTCTCTTGCTAATCTTACCTTCTCAGGCTTCCATAATGGAAAAAATCTTATAAGAGTACGTGTGAAGTAGGGGGAAAATGGAATAGCTGATGTATTATCCGTCTGATGAGTACTTTTTAACCTTTTATGTGCCACCGAACCCATTACAGTCTGATGAAGCCTATGGACTCGTTTCTTGAAAAAATGCTTTAAATGAGTAAACTGAAATACACAGGATTGCCAAGAAAACCAATAATACTGAAATAAAGTCATCAAAAATATTTTAAAAAAACAAATTTGTGATACAGTAACATGTATTCTGCACTGCTCATTCATGAAAAAACAAGATCTGGTGACTACCGTAATTTCAGAGTAGTGGTGAATACTTGGAGATGTCGGCAGTAGTTATTGTACCATGGTATGAAAATTCTTAATGGTGACAGGATCCCAGGTTCTTTTAATATTCCCATGGTTTTTTGCCTGTGTTCATAACTGAAGAGAATGTTAAATTTCAGTTAGAGATGAGGGGAAATAAAGATCGAGTTTATAGTTCCCCCCGAATTCTATCCATGAACCCAGGGTTAAGAATACTTGGTCTAGAGATTTCTAAAAGAGATTGGGAACCTTTATTTGTATGCCTACCAGAAACCATGCAGGTGGTGTGGAAAAAGGATGGTGCGGAGCCATCTACAATCGTACAGTTTCTCTACATTCCTTATTTCATGTGTTCGGTTTATCTGGGCTTCTTGACTCTCCCCGTTGTCTTTCTCAGCGTGGATTTTATATTAAAGTAAAATTGAAACTAGTCAGTTTTTCTGTTTGTTAATTGATGTTCTAGTTTGGTTTTCTTTGTTGGGATTCTTCTTGTTTGATTTTTAAATATATTCATCAGTTGCAGTGGAGGCTGAAACTGCTAATTATCTGGGGTCACTTCTTCATGTTAATGTCTGGCTTCTGTTAACATAGATAATTGAACTTTAAATGTGGAGAGAGTTATAATATCCAACTTCAACCTCTGTCTATTGCCTTCAAAGGTTTCAAAGTAGATTAAAAAATCCCTGCCCTCTGCCTGTTTGACCCTCCTTCACCTTGGCTTCCCAAACGCTGCTTCCTATTGGACCTCCGTTGTCTTCCTGCCTCTCTTCTGGTCCCTTCTGAACCTCCTCATCTGTTTCACACTCTGCCAACCAGAAAAATCTAGGTATTCCCCCCAGCATTAGGCTTTGGGTTAGTTTTCTCTTATTTTTTCTCCCCTTGATAATCTCTCTCAATCCTCACTCTACTTCCTTTCTGATCTTCCTTGTCAGTTTCAATGGACCCTCTACTCTCTGCTGATTGGTCATCTCCCTTACAGTGGTATACATGTGTACTGTCAGAGTTAGACCCCTAAAATGTACTTGGTGGCTCTCAAAAGCATCAAGATGAAGTCCAAACTTCTCTTCCTGGTTCACAACCTCCACAGTGTGGTCCCTGTGGACACTGCCAGTCTTCACTGCCACGGCAAGTCCCTGCCATTACTCTCCTCCCTCACACTCCCCTTGGCTCACCAACTCCCAAATATCCAGATGCACCATATTTAACAAGCACCTCCCTCTATCTAGAATAGCTTTCCCTTCCAGATCACCCATAAAAATTCGATTTTTGAAGACTCACTTCAAGTCCCAATTCCACCAATTCTAAATGCCCCCAGCCAGAATTAATTTTTCCTTACTGCTCATGCGCCAGTGATACTTTAGATGATGCATCATCCATCTAATTAAATTTCGTACTCTTGTTTTGCCATTTCTTAGAGTCTACCTCTTATTTAAATCATTATATTATATTTTTTTCACTAGATTACAAATTCCAGAGGACTAAGGCGATTTGTCTAGTCATTTCCGTGTTGTGGACAGTGATTTGCTAGTCATGTGCTCATAAGGGCTCAGTAAACATTAAATTCAATTGTGAGTTGTGTGGTTGGGTGACTGGATCCCCAAATTGTGACTGTCTCTAAGACACATACTCAGACTCCATTTAGGCTACGATATTCATCAAATACACAAACATTTTACAAAGAGAATTGTTTTTGTGTCCTACCACTGGCTAAATGGAACAATTTTCACTAAGAGAAACAGTTGACAGTTTTATTGAGAAGTTCTGGATTTTTGTGTTGGAAGCTGCAATTCATTCTGTAAGTATTTCTTGAGCCCTGATTGTATCTAGCACTGGGGATGCACAGCTCTGAATAAAACAATTCTCTGTTCTGGAAGCACTTACAGGTATCTTCATAAGAGTTTGGAGTTTCCCATCAAGAGTTGCAGGAGAACTTACATTTCTTAAACTAGGGGAAAATATGTTCATTCCTTTCTTAAAATGTTATGTGTCACCTGGCTATCTCAGAACTGAAAACCACCCAGCCTTAGCTTCAGCACCATGGACAGCCACAGTGAACATGTCAATAATAAGCCTAAAAAGAGAAGATACTTTTATTAGGATATTGCTGATTATAGTTTACTTAGGGCTTGGTTATTACTATTATTTTATCTATTCCTCATCTCCAACTTTAACAAAGCCCTGCAGCAGGCAGGTTTTAAAATTTTTCCTTAGTATCATTTTAGGCCCTAGGCTGGGAAGGTTTTAGCAGAGGTTTTAAGCAATAGAAGTAGCCTTTACTATTTATTATTTTCTAGTAGTAATAAAATTAATAATATTTTATTTTCTAAACAAGTTCTAATATATGTCCAACATTGTAGGAGACACTGGAGATGTATAAAACTTAATTTATGGTCTTAAGTAGCTCACAGAAGTAGAATTTTTTAAAGAATTGCATTGCTGTAAGGGGGGGGAAAAAGAAATATTACTAGAGGAAGATGCTTGTGTAGAAAGCTCTGAATTTTTTTTCAAGGCTAGTTTGACACTGGATATTAGGGACATATGCCATGATTTTCTGAAATACGAGTATTAAGTGGGAGAAAACAGAGCATAAACTCTCGGAACACATTAGATTAGTATAGGGGAATTGTTAAAGGCCTTTGGTGTAAAATGTAAATTATGAGGAACATATACATTCAGAAAGAGTAAAGAGTATTTTTCAGATATCTTTGTATGCATGTATAAAGATCTGTGCCTTCAAATTTGACTAGATTTTGTTTTTTGTTTTTCAAAATTTTTTTCTAAGAATTGCCCTGGTGGAAAATATTCCTGAAGGCCTTAACTATTCAGAAAATGCACCATTTCACTTACCACTTTTCCAAGGCTGGATGAATTTACTCAACATGGCCAAAAAGTCTGTTGACATAGTGTCTTCCCATTGGGATCTCAACCACAGTCATCCATCAGCATGTCAGGTAAGCTGCATCCTCTCTGTGTGTGATGATTTTACTTATGTGCACTTTATCCTCCTCAGTATTCTTGCCTCCTTTCCTAAAGTTCAAGCTCATTTTTTCGGTCTGTCTTTACCCATCATTCATGTATGTTGTTACATTTATATGTGTGCGCCATTGTTGAACATAGGTCGCTCAGCTTCTGCTAGAATGCCAGGCTTTCCAGGGCGAAATCACATCTCATCTTTGCCAGCAATAGACTCTCTCTGCAGCACTGCTGTATCAGACAACTTCAGTGGTGCCTTCACATTGAGATGTCTTTTGATGGCACGCCCCCGAATTCTGCTTTGCACAACCTGCATGTTTTCAGTTCTAGTTCCGTAACTGCTTGCTGAAACATTTATTTGGTTAATTGATGTCCTGATTTGCCATTGAGACCCAGAGCCAGTGTTTTTTAATAGTGGAGTCAAACTTCCCAGTATAAGTGTGTATTCCTGACTCTGTCATATTGGAGTGAATTAGTACAAAGAAATGTACTGGTTATAAGAAGAGCCTTTAGAAAACTGACTGTCCTGGAGATAAGAAAATGATCCTGGTAATCTTTAGTGTGTTTCTCTGTGTGTTGGTGCAACATGATAACACTGAGCTACCCAGGATGTTCTAGTCAAGTGTATGACCTTTGGCCTGTGTGGGTCAAGGATAAAATGAGTTTTGCCTCTTTGTGTACAAAATGTGTTGGCTTTAAGCCTGTAATTATTACTTCATTGGTGCTTTGATTTGCTTCAATTATACTCTTTTAAAGTCAAAATATATTAGAAAATAGATTAAAAAAAGAATAAAAAACCAATAAAGGCCATCCTAAAAAAGAATCGGATAAATTCACTAATTATGTTCTGCACTCTTCTACATCTACTGAAGCAGCATATGTCATCCCAAATCTTAGTGATTTAAAAAACAACAATCACTTATTCATTCGTGATTCTAGGCAGGGTTTGTCAGAGAGAACTTGTCTCTGATCTAAATTGTGTTGGTTGGGGTGGCTTACCAGGGACTGGAGGATCCGAGATGACTGCTCACATGTCAGCATCTTACCTTGAGTGGCTGGAATGTCTGGGGGCTGGCTGGAGCTCTCTCTCTCTCTCTCTCTCTCTCTCTCTCTCTGCGTGTGTCTCTCATCATTCAGTAAACAAACTTGAACTCTTTACTCATGGTTGTATCCTAAAAGAGCAAAGACAAAAAGCAGAGGTCTTACGAGACCTCTTAAGACCTGGGCTCCAGTATCCCAATTGCTTCCACCTAATTCTTTGGTCAAAGCAAGTCACAAATCCAGGATGGGAGGGGTAGCATCCATATGGGAATGGGGAGAATTTTTAGCAGGTATCTTTGGAAATTTTATACCACAGCACGCTCGCGCCACAGCAGTCCATATCTCACCTACATACAAAATGCATTCCTCATCCCCCTAGGCTTGTATCTGATGATAGAAAAAGCTCAAAGACCAGGATCTCTTTTATCTGCATCAGGTCAGGCTCTGGGTAAGATTTCTCACATGGGGCCCTCTTGATTTGGAAATCTATGCCCCCCAACACACACTCCCAACATACAGTGGCGAAACAGAAATGAGATAACTATGATAGATACTTCTGTTCAAAAGTGGGAAGTGGAGATCATGAATCAGTGGTGCGTCCATGGCTGTTTTGAAAGCCATCCCTGCCCACAGCAGCAGTTTTCCGACCTTAGAGAACAGGGAATGTTTCTGGACTGGGTCTACTTCTGCTCCGTGGGAGTGCTTTCCTAATTTGCTGTTCTCAGAAATTCTTTGCTCCACCCTCTGTGTTCTTTCTTTTTCATAAGAAATAGCCTGTGTTTGCTTCAGACTTATTTTCTTGGTTGGTTTCCCGCCAGTAGAAATCTGAGGCCCCAGAGACCTCTTTTCATTTTAAACCATCTCTGTCCTTTTTTTAACCCAAAATGGAACAACCCCTTAAAAACATTTGTAGACTGTGTATCCAGTTATAATCCATTCTATTAGCAAAAGGCCACGCCACAAATAACTCACAGATGGGTTCTTTTTCCACTTTGGACTGTGACTCAAGATGCTTCAGAACCCCTCCTGAAAATTTCCAGGAGCCCTTCTGTCTAACTGATAGGATCTGTGACGCACACCCCGCTCTCCATCTTTCAGAGGTCTCAACGTGGCATCTTACAGCCACAACTGCGATTTGATCTTTTCCGAGGTCTTTTCTCACTTGGAGAATGTTTTGCCGAATTGAGAGACAGTCCTAGATTTCCTTCATTTTTCTCAAAACTCTGCGTGAAGACGAAACAGTTCCTTTTTACAGTGTACCGTCAAACTTCGATAATCTACCTGAATAATCTCATTAGCCGATCTCCAAATCCCCTACTTTACAGCAGGCGGTAGTGTCGCCTTACTTTCAGCTATGACTTTCTCAAGGCCTCAGAAGCAACTTCTTTACTATTTTCCAGGCCTTGAGTAACAGAGTGAGATTTCAGCCTCTACCACCGCCCAGTCCCAGAGACAATACCACATGCTTTAAGTTTTTGCTACAGCCGTTTCTATTCAATTTTCTATCGCAGTGTAACAAAAAATTAGTTATTGTTATTCCCTATGATTCTCTCTGCGAGTTGGCTGACAAGCCTTTTGCTCTGGTGCTGGCTGGGGTTACTCACGCAGTTGTATTTAGGTGGGAGGGCAGCTGAAGCTGGACCATCTGAGACTGGCCTGGTCTCATTCTCTGCACGTGGACACTCATCACACAGTGCTGTAACCCCAGCTTTTTGTAGGGCAGCTGGGTCCCAGGAAGGAGAAAATGAAAACTACAAGACCTCTGAATGCCTAGGTTCCCAAAACATTACTTTGCTGCATTCTGTTAGTCAAAACAAGTCACAGGGCCCGGCCGCATTCTTGGAGGGACGAGAGACTCCAGGATGGGGACATGCGTGTACAGGATGGGAAGAATTGTTGGCAGCCAAATCCCCAGGTGGTTTGTATGCTCTCAAATCTTTGAAAAGAGCTGATCTAAACCATTCCCACCTCCTGCTCTGTGAGTCTAGCAAACCCTCCTGGTGTTTAGACTCTGGGAGAAGATAAGTCATCAGGGAATGGCAGAGCGTTTCTGGGTCATGGTTCCTGAAGTCACATGATGGTCAATACTCAGCACTGCTCACAGAGCAGTGGTGAAAAGGATGAGGGAGGCTCCAGGTCGGTTTGGCATAACAGTGCCTAGCATGGTGCTTGGTGCATACTAGTTGTGAAAGTAAATATTTCTTGGGCAATAAATAGGAAGTTGTAAATATTTGTTGAATAAATGGTGTCAAAGGTAAACAAGCTGGACACTAGCTGAAGTGGTCAGGGCAGGTTTTAATCAGTAATACTATTGCAAGAGGGAAGAGGGTTCAGGTGAAGGAAGAAACTCAACAAGATTTGTACAGAGAATGACTACGCACTTTACAGTGCAATGAGGGATTGGAGAGGGTGGCAGGGGCCTGAGCAGGATCAGGGAAGTAGAAATTTGTAAAGCAGTGGGAAGAGGGTTGGTCCATGTGAAACCTACCCGGGATTGCTAACTGGTGCTTATCAAATTTCGGCTCCTGCCATCCTACGGAGGCCTATCTTCAGGTGTTGACTGGGAAGGACAGTTCTTTGGTAATCGTGAGCTTTCTCAGGCAGGAACTTTAAGAGGGACTCCGATCACCCTAGGGACATGTTAGTGTTTGTTCGAGCCTTTTAAGGAAGGAGGAGAGACCAGGGTGGAGCAGAGGAGGGTGGATGAAACCATTTGTGCCTAGAGTCTGCAGTTTTTATAAGCCAAAGATTGACAGCTATTGGAAAGATTAAAAAAATAAATAAATAAACAGGTAAAATTTAAATCAAATAGGCTTTCAGCCATACCTTCTTTTTTAGGAATGTAAAACTTGGTGGCCTGGAGAGAATAGGATATGGGTCCTTAAAGTGCACCACAGAGAAAAAGCTGACAGCAAGGACCTGTTTTCTTTCCTCCTTTCCTGATCTCTGTACAGTTACCCCTCTTGCATGCTAAGAGGGCAGGCAGGAAGGAATGATCCAGGCTCTGTAAAAACTTATCTCTAAAAGCCCAAGACATGTGGTAAGTTCTCCTGCGCCTCTGAATCCTAAGTCCTAGGGCTTGAGGGTTGGATGAGGGGGACCCTAAAAAACGCATCTTGTCTTTCCTTCCTTGCACTAGGTGTTGTCAATCTCTTGATGGTTGACTCCCTCTGTGCTAAAAGAAACTGGGCAGTGACTTTCCTCTGCATCATAGCCACGTTAAGGGCTAGTGAGGGCTATAGCTCCGTGGTAACCGTATTTTCATATTTAATCAAAATATAGGGTTGGGCTAAGGGTTTTATTTCTTTCTTTCAGAATGAATTTAAACCCTGCAATATTATATGTCTAGGACAACTTGATTGCTAATTTATGGGATAAAATGATGGAGATTTATGAAATCAAGGCTGTTTAGGAAAAGCCAGGAAATAGGGCTTAACAAAGGCTTATTGGTAGAGCTACCTAGTTCATTGAGTAAAAAAAAAAATCCAATTTTCTGGGAGTTCACAGTAAGGAACCAAATAAAATAATTAATGAGCTGCAACAACTGAATCTTAATGAGATGTATTTATATGAAATCAATTAGTTACTGGTCTGCAGGGAGCCATGATTGCCAGTTGATGATACATCACAATGGTTTAATTTTGAAAAATTATGATTTTTACAATTTGACATTATTTACTTAATTTAGTTAAGTACCACGTATGAAAGTTCATTGTCCAGTAAGTCATTTTGGGAAGCGTACGCCGGGACCCTGAATCTACACAGTAAGTGGTAGGCAGACTGTAGAAATGAGTCAGGAGTATAGCTCAGATTTCTTTTTATCTACTTACCAGCTGTGTGACTTTGAGCAAGATGCTGAACTCTCTGTGCCTTAGTTTTCTCATCAGCAAAATCAAGGTGATAACAGAACTTAACCCCACAGGTTGTTGTATAGATT